GTCTCACAAAGATACTGCGCGTGCATAAAACTGGAATCCAGCCGGCTTTGTAGGGCATCGCAGCGCGTCTTTTATATGGAAATTTCATCTTACTGATAAGAAATAAAGTCACCTTTAACGTGTCTGAAGTGCATTTTTTTTCGAAAATCCCCCTCTTTTTTGACAGTGTATTTCAAAGATCTATACCTTCTGCTTTTAGGTACGTGTCACTAGAAGAAAAGAAAACGTCTCTCTATACTCCGACATTTTCCGAAAACATTTATTGCACACTGTATTTGTCTATACCTTCTTTTACTGTAATCATTAAGCTACTTGTGTTTTCTTGTTCACTGCATTGAAATGCTTCGAACAGTTACTACACTTGATAATTTTGCTGCCACTATCTTCAGTGCACACGAAACCGTTGTACTCAGACTGCCTTGGCAATTATATTTGTTTATTACTTTGTTCTCTCAGCTATTACCAAGTCTCTTGCTATGACTGATAGTAGAGAGGTAGTCTGTAGACATCGTAAGTTGTGCGCAGCATAATATTCTTTATTATGTATGAAACGTCCTCCAGTATCATCTGCACGTAATTTGCCATCACTAGAACTTCTCGAGTTCGTTGCACTAGATATTACGGCAATAATGCTACTTAACAATACAAAAGTATGTGTTTACTTATTGTTTGGATGGTTTATTTTTTTGCATGATATACATATTTACGAAACATAATACAGTTTTTTTTGGTATTTTTCGTCTATATATTTTGTATAGAAAACAGACTATATGTAACACCTCCGACCGAATACGAGCATATGGTTTTGACTTAGATTATCACGTCTATGAACCCATAAACTGGTATAACAGAGAGGAACAAGTATCCGAAAAACAAATGCTTGATTTCCAAATTAAAAGTGAAGTCCAGTTTCTAAAATTAAAGTGAAGTCCATAGAGTTTACTAACTTCAATCTGTGACATTGACGGTTCTATATCTTAAAAACTGAAAGGAACTTTTTTCTGGAAAATACAGCAATATATAGTACAACTTGTGTACTTCAGATTAGTATCAAAAGTGGAAAATGGTCCTTTTTAGTTGAAAATTCTGTCCTTCCTTATTTTGTTCTTCAAGGAGAAATAGCGCCCTACACAGATATACTTCAAATTTACTGTGAAAAGTAGAGAGGACACTGTTATCTAAACAAACATTATACAACGGTTTTATTTGCGTTTCATTCATATTGTCCCGATTCATCTAACTGAAATAGTACGTGGATTACAGAGACACGAAAGTTCAACAAAGCTGTAAAATTTCTAAAATTAAAGTGAAGTCCATAGATTTTACTAACTTTAACTTGTGATATTGACAGCTCTACATCTTAAAAACTAAAAGAGGCCCTTTTCTAAAAAGTAGCTTGGCATACAGTACAAGCAATGCACTTCAAACTGCCAGAAAAAAGGGAGAGGGATACTTCCAAATTTGTTTAGATCAAACAGTTTTCAAAATCTCGGTGAATATTTTGTACAAAAACCAGATTGAATACATGTTTCATCCTGATTTTTGATTGGATAAAAAACTCTAAAAGATTTTCTTTTTTATCCAAAATGTAGAGCTCTATCTTTCTGTCTATTTTAAAACTTTTCAGGGTTCGTCATTGGCATATTAATATAGTTCTAATCTCGGTGGATAGAATTTTGCAAAAAATGATTGTAAACAGAGTTTTTTGATAAAACCATAGTCAAAATATGATTTTTATTTAAATCCAACGTACGTATTGTGAAAACCTACTTTACAGGCTACAAGAAACGCTAAAAAGCTTTTAGAACTAGTTTAAATAAATTAGCGAAAAAGTTTGATTCTTCCTCCGGATGGTGCCAAAAACAGCCAACTTTATTCTTGTTTGATCTATAACTCAGCACCCACTTCAGATGGAGAGTTCTTTTTCTCACAAGTGAATGACCATTACTGAATAAAACAAAATAAGAAAAAGAAATTCAAAATCAGTTGAACAGAACAATTTTTATAAGCAACACATTCTCCGACAACCCACGGTGCAATGGCTATGCAATTCACTTATATATATATATATATGCAGTTTACATGAATGCATATATGGTTCATATTCTTACCCTAGGACCTGTATATTTACGTACCTGTATACGAGGCAAAAAGAGTACGTGTCTAGTTCATTCGCATGTACTGCATTGATCTTTTGTGATGTATTCATAATTAAACCCAAACATGGAAAAAAAAGAAAAACTATTCGTGCGATTTTTCCGTTTTCATTCTTTTCTCTTCACAGTGTTACTCTCTCTTCCTCTCTCTAAAATACGTTCATGGAAAAATTGTAGGGAGCACATCGTTTTGATAATCTATTACTGCGAATTAGGGTCGGGCTAAGCATGGATGCATCTTTTTAATTGTTAGCTGTCTTTTGCAAAAGAGAGTAGATAACGAAGAAAATGACGTTTTTGTGATTTTTTGTTTACTGTTCATTAATTTGATGATTGGTGAGAAGTAAGATTGAAATAATTGGAACTAGTATTATCAACGTAAACTTGTGAACAGTATCACATTCATATAATTTAATTTTGGCGTGTATTTATCAGAAAGAAAAAGTACGATTAGAACAATTAATTGGTAAATATTCAATAAACTATTGCTTGCTATTGTTGTTGATATCGATGTACCGTACAAACTATACAATCACTGATTGACAGTAGGACAAAAACAGCCTTGAAAAATAATAGTCTTTATCGTTTTTTCTTCGTTTAGTAACGGGTATTAGCAAAAGAAGCTAAACTCACTAACACTCTGAAATCAGATAACAATGATGTCGTTTATTACAGTGCGTCGAATTGTCTAGGAAAAGAAGTTCATAATAAGTCTAATTTGCGATTCAACAGGCCAGTAAGGAAATAAAAGGCACAAGCGCAGCCTATTTCAGTTGCTTGTACGAGTGAGAAACGATAACAAAATGCGAACGACTTTTAGGTTATTGACGCCAGAGGCGGGTCCGACTCTACTGAGGATCTTGTGTTTTTTTTATTTTTTACTGAAATTTGTGTGTATGATCAACGAAAAGTATTTGGTGCAAACTTGGAGTCACTAAAACACTGTTTCCCAGATGTTAGAGGATGCTAGTGAGTAATAACTTTCATATCGCCGGAAAAAAAATAAAGTTGGTTTAGAGTTGCTGAAAAGTGGTTTTTCGTACTCAGCACATTCGATAACCCAGAAGATTTTCCGTTTTTGGCTCGAGGTACTTCCGAAAGTTTAGGAAAAGTTTTAAAATTAATATTATTTTTCCATGGGAAACGTTTTGCCCCATTTTGTTTCAAATTTTTCTTAAACTTTCGGAAGTACCCCGGGCCAAAAATAGAAAATCTTCTGGGTTTTCGAGTGTGATGAATACGAAAAATCACTTTTCAACAACTCTAAACCAACTTTATTTTTTTTGTTTCGGTGATATGTTTTTAAATTTTTTAACCCTACTCATCGTTTGTATCGTCTGTTAGCTATCACAAGAACACAGCTCACCGAACGAATGGACTTCGACAAAATTGACGATCGCGAGAAAATCAATAGTTAATTCTTGTCCTTCTTAACAATATATTAGTGTAACACGCAATTTTCGCCTATTTCTCCGCTTATCTCACCGAAACATTTCAACGTGAATATAAGAGCTCTGCGCAAAACAGACTTTAACCATATTTTCGCCACTATATGAAACTAATTAGTATTAGCAGACGTAAAAACTTGTGTATGTTGTTCCCCCTTTTAGTTAGTTCCGTTTCCAATATGATATGAGATTTCACAGTGTTGAATGTTCAAATTTGGTAAAAAAGTCTTCGAAAATAATTTTTGTTGGCGGTTAAGAGAGTACTGGTAATGAAAATCTAGATTTGTTCTGATATACATGTATCATTTTACTGAATTACTAACCAAGTGGACACCTCAGTCACAGAAGCTCGATTTTTCCTTGAGTTCTGGTGTTTTGGAGGAACTCTAATGACAGATTCTTGTGCGCTAGGAGAGCTTTGATTCACATAGGTGTTGGAAATAGAATCTCCATGTCGCACTTGGATTTTCACTTCGTGTTCCGTCTTTACTGGTCTGAGCTAACTGTGTTAATCACATAACCTAAAACGTGTTAGCGTGGTATCTCGGTAGTCCTTATTGTCATACTAAAATGGTAGTTTCACAAGCTCAATTCTGCAGAATCTTCTCATCTTTCTTTCCTTTGTTGTTTTATATAACCTGAATTTAATTCTAATTAACAAATAAAGTCACTTTTGCGCTTAATCGGATTACAAATATCAAATGTTTCTACTACATTACATTAATGACATTCATCGTGTAAAAATATCAGAATTTATGAGATCAATTGAAAAAAAAACAGAAAAAGAAGGGCAACAAGTGGGTGAATGACATCATCTCGCACATTGTCTCGATTTGATTGCAAAGCTTAGTTATATAAACAATGTCATTTTTCGAACTTAAAAACGTAATGAAAATTCAGATTCTTGTATATTCTTACTCCTTCAGTTAAATAAATGCTTGATTAACCAAAGAACCTTTGCAGTTTGAAGATAAAGCGACTGTGGATTTTGTTCGTGAAACTTCGCTCAAATATTAGTTTTTTTGTAACTGTGAGCTTTTTAACAGAGAAGGCTGATTTTACAACGTTGTGCTCTACAAAAGCACTTTTATTTCGAAGCAATGGCCCAGCAAGAGACAGGCAAAAGTTTGCTACTTACATCTTGTGTTTTATTCAGATACTTTAAAACATAATGAACACCACAAGCCTATCACCTGACGTCATTTATGTCTTTATTACGTCTGAATTGGTCATCCGCTATTTTCCTGTTCCATTGTTTTTCTTTGGTGCAATTGGTGTAGTAGTGAATCTAATTATATTCACACGAAAATCATTAAGATCTAGTCCTTGTGGGACTTACTTTCTAGCTTCAACCGTTTCAAATATCTTTGTTATTTTCTTGACTTTACCAAGTCGTATGATTGGAGATGGATTTAATATCGATCCGGGAAATTATATACTCGTTTACTGTAAAATGCGCTATTATATTGCATGGACCAGTCGAACATTATCCACGTGGTTTATCGTACTAGCATGTGCCGATCGATACTTTTCAAGTTCTCCTAGTGTTAGCCGTCGTCAGTTGAGCTCAATAACAACCGCATATTATACAATCTGTGCTACAACCGTCATCGGCCTGTTAATTTATGTCCATGTATTGGTCTATTTTAATATTGATCCTACGCAGACTCCTGCATGCTATGGAATGCAAGGTATGTACCGTCTGTTTGCTGATTTTTCCTATCTATCCTTCTACAGTGTCATACCGACGTTCGTAATGTGCATCTTCGGCTCACTAACAATATGCAACGTGATCGAACTTCATCAAAATGTTTCACGTTCGACAACTGCCGCTGCCGCATTTCGAATCAGACGAAGAGATCGGCAAATGCTGTTAATGTTGTTATGTCAAGTTCTAATAATTATTTTGACAACATTGGCTCAACCTGCCCAGAAACTATATGCAACGTTCACAACGGCCACAGTTAAAACAAGCATGGATCGTGCTCATGATGAATTGGCAGCACAAATAATTCGTTCAATATCTTTTTTAAGTCATTGTTGCAGCTGTTATATCTTTACGATTATTAGTGGAAGGTATCGGAAAGAACTGAATCTTGTGTTGCAGCGATGCTATAAATGGAAATTATTTCAGTCAACTCACTACACACGATCAGATGATGGCAACAGAACATCGGAACAACTACCACAAACTTAACAAAGCAGAAATGTAGGATCAGTAGGGCAGTTGTGGAAAATACTGATAGTATGAAAATTTAAAAATCTTCTCAGTTTTTTGCATAAGTCTGTGTAACCAGTCCTCGCAGTGGAACAAAGACATAGTGGCCAAAGGCTGTTTTTTAACAACACTAAGTCATCTTCTTAAAAAAGTAGATTTGTAGGAAAATGAAAGGCGTCTTTAGATTATGACCAAGGAAAGAATTATGGAGAAGTTAATGCAATATTCATTTCATTTGCTAAGAACAGTAATTTGTTTTGCTTCTTTCACAAATATATGTATGACAATCTAAAACATATCCAGGGAATTGAATATTTAAATAGAATGCTCGAAACAACCTGTTGGCTGTTATCTTCTGTTCATCCGAATAGCCTGTTGTCTTCATCTAGTCGGCAGAAACGTAAAAACCGTGTGAAGGATGATCTCCACCGTACTTTCTAAGACCTTTTTTATTTTTTTGAAATATGAAACGGGAACTCTGCAAAAGTAAAGTCTTGATTGGATAAATCAGTAATTGGTAAGGTCCACAGCCACAGTCCTGCAGGTTGCCACTTTTTGGCAACCTATAACCTAACCTATGAAGTCGGTAACCTAGCCCTAACCTAACCTATTCTGTGATTTTGTTTTCAACCCGTAGAACATTACAAGCATATTTGATAAAGTAAGCATACACATCATTCAGCCTTTTGCCTTTCATAGAATTACGGCGTGGATGACTCAAAACCAGGAAAAATTTCGCTTGCGCAAAAGTAGAAAGAAATCGAAAGAAATTAAAACACAACTTACAACTTAATCTAACCTATACGTTAGATTGGGTTAGGTTTAACCTGCAGCGCTCTGGGTGCAGCTAATTCAAAAATCAAGCGAAATTTATTTTTGAACTTATTATACACCATTCGAAAGTCCAAGCTGATTAAGAAAATGGATGTCGGAGTAGACCGAGGGTAAATATGCTGAGTCATTTTGGAAACCTATCTAGTTTTTTTGTTTGAGGAGATGAAACCCTGTGACATATACTAGTCGTACCGCCTTCATTCATACAAAAACGTAGAACACGAGACTTTAAAATTCCTCCCCATTGCTGAGAATTTTCACTTTTTGTACATCAGAAGTGAAACAATCGGAATTGTGCTCGTAATTCTCAATTTTCTCCACCAGAACTCCCATTTTATGCAATAAACGTATCGTATTCAGAGTCAGCGTCGAAAAACGAGTTGAATGAAGTATGTCTTGAAATTTTTCGCTGGTTTTCATTTTTTGGTGAAAATCTCAGTAATTCTTCGACATGAAAGTTCTAAAAAAAGCTGGTCAGATAGGTTAAAGAGTACACCATTCGACCCGTTTTTCAACGCTCACTCTGAATAGGATACGTTTATTGCATCAAATGGGAG